GGTACTCTTCTCCTCACTGCCCACCACCTTGGAATCTTTGTCATCATGAGATACGTGGATTAGCTATCTTACATGTTTCCATCATGAGGTTCTGCCTTACCACAGTTCTAAAAGGAGTGGGGGCAAAGTATATTGGACAAAATCTTCTAAAACCATGATTCAAAATAAACTTTTCCTCTTGTTTCCTTTACATATTTGGTACAGCAGCTTAAAGCTAATATAACATTGAATCTTCATTGTTTTTTCTTCTCTATTATTTCACAGATTATCAGACTTGTCTAACGTTGGACACTGAAAGTTTAAATATCCCCAATATATAGTTTAGGAGTGCCACAGTCAGAAAGTGCTTAGTAACAAACAGTAAGTAGTTGAGGAATATGTTTGGCTATTCTACAATGGGTTTGCATTTGACCAGAATCAACTTAAGACACAAACCAGGGCTCACTGATGCTTCATTTAGGTAAGGATCCTCCGAAGAGGCTCTGTTGCATATCCAGAACTGAGTAGGTCCAAAATGTCTTGCAATTATAAGACAAATATTAATTAAAAAGTGTATGGCATGAATCCTAAAAAACCTCCTTTATTTTATTTCCTTCCTTTACTAAAATAAGTGTACATTTCACCAATGGAGAAAAGAATCTGTATTTTATTCTCATAGTGGAAAAATTAAAGCATAATTCACCAAGATATATCCTGTAATATTTTTTAAATGCCAAAAGTCTGGACCAGGAAGGCAAATTACCTTTTAGTCATCTATGACACACAACTGAAGTCCACTTTGTGATTTGTATTTGAGCATCAAAATCTATCATAAATATATAGCTACCTCAATAAATCCACTAAAATCCTTTCTGTTGTATGGAAAAACATATTTTATTTTTCATCCCTATAATACTTTAGTTTTATTTCTTGGTTTTGTGGGCAAGCCATGTGGAGACTTTTGAACACTATTGGTAACTAAAAATATAGTATTTTGATAATGTTATTTTTATTCAGTATTTTACTACATGTTAATTATTTTGTTAGAATATTTAACTCTATTATGTCATACTTACTATAAGTCATAAGTATATAGAAACAAATTCCCTGGTACAAATCTTAACCACTTCTATTGCAAATATTTCATGTGAGTGTCATAACAAAAATTGTATGCTTTGATGAATAAAATGTATGATTTCGTTAATCAAAATATTTTTTCTTTCTAATGTCAATTGCTGTTCTTGGGTAGGAGAAAACAAAAGTGAACACAACATACTATATATGTATTTCCATTTAGATGACATTCTTATGTAGGGACTCAGGCAATGAACATAATATAAATAATAAACAGATAAATATTTCTGCATTAAAATATGACTCATAGAGGTAAACATATATTGGTTATATGGAAATATATAATTTATTGCAAAAATGTTATTCATGACAAACACTAAACCATGATAGTTGAAAGGCTCATAGAATTTCTAATATAGAGAACTCCAATATAATATTATTATGTAACTTGACTCAGACATTTAGCATCATTTATTGGAATAGCACTGTGCTGTATGTATGTGTAACCTCACAAGGTAAGATTTGTTCCTTCCTCTATATGCAACAGAAAACCTGCCCCAGTAGATGAAGCATGAAGTGACAGAGACACAATTCAAATCTAGATTTGGTATTCCCATTCCTTCTCTAGTTTTATCCTACATTGCTACATCAAACCTCTCAGTAGATTATTTGTAATATTCTGTTCTCTACTTTATCTAAGGCAATTAGGATTTCAGATTTTGAAGTTCTCCAAATACAAGTAAAATGTGCAGTTATAAAACACCTTTCACATAGTCTATCAAAGTGGTTTCTGTGAAAGCATATTGCAGCCGGGCGCTGGTGGCTCATGCCTGTAATCCTAGCTATCCAGGAGGCTGAGATCTGAGGATCACGATTCAAAGCCAGCCTGTGCAGGAAAGTCTGTGAGACTCTAATCTCCAATAAATCATTAGAAACCTGGAAGTGGCTCTGTGGCTCAAGTGGTAGAGCGCTAGCCTTGAGCTGAAGAGCTGAGGGACAGCACCCAGGCCCGGACGGAGTTCAAGTCCCATGACTGACAAAAGAAAGAAAGAAAGAAAGAAAGAAAGAAAGAAAGAAAGAAAGAAAGAAAGAAAGAAAGAAAGAAAGAAAGAATTAAAGTATATTGCAAATCTCTCAAGAAGAGACTTGGGAGATCATAAGCCCCCCTTATTTTTTGAATTGTGGTCATCTGGGTTGTACAACTCAAGTTAAAGTGCATTGATGGCCAGTGGGCAAATTCATTCTTCTACTAAAATATGTCTTCAAAATGCCAGGACCAAATCACAAGCTCTTATTTTCCAAAGCACTGCTATTCACATTTGGTAATCCTTCATTTGCTGGTATGGTTGACATAATTGTTCACATAGTTTTTATTGCACTTATGCAGTGTGTGCACCTGTCATCAGACCAGCTAAAACTGTTCTTGCCCTTTGGTATTGAGCCATTCTGCTGATACAGTGTGTTATAAATATTACGAGGACAAGAACAGTTTGAATTACAGGATAATACAACATATTTTTTTTTTACTGACAACCTCATTTCCTATTGATTCTCTATAGTCTGAAGAGGTGACCTACAACTTCAGATCAAGTTACAAAGGTTATTTACAAAACATTACCAGGAAGTATACTTTATTTAGAAATTGCTTAATAGAAGATAAACTAGTAGAAGTTACAAGCTCTTGCTTAAGTTGATCCTGCTTGGAGACAAAGAGTGGTAATATCTTCTAAAATTAAAATTAAAGTTGCGTTTAAAAATGCAGTCCTCTCCTGTGAAATTCCAGCAGTAACAGAGAAGTCCATCCTGTGATTACGCAAGAACACAATGTGAGACGGGAAGTGCAGATGCTATGTGATTTGCTTGAGTAACACTGATATATTTGGAAGCATCTGTCTTTCCCTTTCACCTAGACGCCTGTTTGTTTACTTTGGCCTGTAAGGACTACTTGGTTCTCAGAGGATCAACTTATGGTCCCTGTCAAACACTCCTTATAGGTTTATCATTACAATTAATGACACTGGTAGAGAATAAAGTCCCAACTTGCAGGTGAAAATCTTCAGTTTAAATGGTTTCATCCTCAGTATAACATAATATTCATTAACATGGGAAAATATCTAATCAAGCATGCTTTCCTAAAGTACCATGGACAGATAGTTTGATTAACTAGTGTGCTAGTCCTTTCTGTTACAGTCATAATACACAAAATAAGTACTTCTTATCATGTAACGAGGAGGGCTTAACTTAGAAACTTTCCTCAACTCACTCCTCTTCATAATATATTATTATATATAAAAATACACATACCTGACACTTTCTATGTGTTCAAAGCACTTTGCAAATATTGACTCTCAATTGTAAGTAATACTCTCATTAGGAAGATATCAAAGATGACACAAACAGTGCTGGTGGTGAGGGACAACTCCAATTCTGGTCCTTAAGTTTTGAGTCCTCCTGTACTCAGTAGGCTAAACTCTATACTTTCAAATGGCAAATAGTTCAAATTCAACAAGCAATTAGATATAGTTGCTTCCCTCAAAGGATTGGCCTCCAAATCCATTTCTTCTCATTTTCATATTTTCTTTCAAAGATTCTGATAGAACACTACAATGTGTTAATTTAGTAAATATCTTCTTTTGTTAAGTATGGGATGCATATTGTGCACTGCGACAGACATGACAGATGTATCAGCATTGCAGGTCTGTGTTTTAAGGAAGCTAGCTGAGGAAGAAATGCAATATCCTTTCATAAATGCTAATGAAAATACATACTTCAGAAAAAACTGTCAAAAGAGTATTTGAAAATTTTGGAATGAACTAGAGTTGAACAACAGCCATAAGCTGCAATAGGAAGAATTAGAATTATTACACTTAAATAGCTCTTCTTTTCTCACACTTGATGACACATCTGCCTCACTGAGATACATTTGAGTTTTGCTATATAGTAATTAAGATAAAGAACTTCATTGTATATCTCCAAAGAGCTCCTAGACTGCCTCTTAGCAATACTCTCCTGACCTATTTTAGTAGTAGTAGGAGTTGAACTCAAGGCTCATACTTTCAAGCTGGGCGCCGGTGGCTCACGCCTGTAATCCTAGCTGTTCAGGAGGCTGAGATCTGAGGATCGTGGTTCAAAGCCAGCCCAGGCAGCAAAGTCCCTGAGACTATCCCCAATAAACCACTAGAAAACCAGAAGTGGTTCTGTGGCTCAAGTGCTAGAGTGCTTGCCTTGAGCTGAAGAGCGCGGGGACAGTGCCAAGCCCAGAGTTCAAACCCCATGACTGACCAAAAAAAAAAAAAGCTCATACTTTCTATATGAGATATATGTGTAGGTGTTTTATCACTTGAGCCGGTTGGCTTTTGTTATATTTTAAATAGTGTCTAAATTTCTAGCTAGGCTGGCTTATGTAGAAATTTATCCGCAATCTTCTCAATCTATGCCTCCCAATTAGCTAGGATTACAAACCACCACACTCAGCTCTATCTTTTTTTTCTTTTTTTTCTATTTATTCTTGACCATGTCATTTCAACATGAAAACCATCCTCTCTGAGTTGTATCTTCTACCTCATGTAAATAAAATAACTATTAAAGGTGATGAAGCTGGAATTCTTTTATAAAAGCACAATAAGGATGACAGTCATTGCTATTAATTTATGTTTTCAGTTACAGTTGAACTCTATATGTCTTGCGATGTTTTTTTTTCCTAAAGAACTCTATACTTATTGGCCTACATTTAAAAAAATTTTTCAGTAACAGAACAATTCAGCTCTTACATATGAGATTGTCTTTGTTTTTTCTTCAGTCTTTCAGTGAATTTGTCTTTCATTCCTAGGAAAAAAGTAAAGAATAACTTCTGTAAATGGCTCATGATTTTTCATGACTAATGACCTTCAAGAACATGTATGATTTTTTTTCCATCCTGAATTTTTATGTCTTCTTTCTTTTCTTAGATTGAAAAATCAATTGAGGCACACTTTGGCCATGATGGCAGAAGGGCCATCCTCTACAAGCCTCCTTCTTATAGAAAAATGGCACTGGAGCTATACCAGAAAGTTCTTGCGCAGCATGGCTACACAGTTGTCATCATTGAAGAAAAGCTTGGTGCTGATCCAGAACTGGGGCTGCTAGAACAAGGTCAGAATAATAAGAAGCAATTATCAAAGTCACTTGAAATCTCATGTAAATGATTTCAAGCATGGGCTGCTCTTTCCCTCTAAAACAATTTCACAAAAATAAATTTTTATAAATGATCAGCTTTCTCATATCATAGAAAAAAATGTAGCTTTAAATTTTGCCACAACTTTTCTTTAGGTAGACTTCTTTATTCCTGAAATTATTATTTTTTGTTTATATTTGCGTAGCATTTTGGAGTTGCTCAGTTCATATTTAAGTGCTACATTAAAAATGTTTATGTTTATGAGCCTGAATACATATTCTGCCTAACATCAAACTGCTTCATATTTTAAGGAAATTGCTACTTCATTTGACTGCTGGTAGAATTTGCTGGAAATTGAGAAGCTGGCTTAAATGTGATTCACAGATGGCTCTAAATATAAAAGAAGTAAGGATATTTATTATACATGCCATTATTCCTTGAATACTTTTATTTCTATCATTTGAAGAGAAAAATAAGAGACAAGTTTTTTAAAAAGTCATTTGAAATTAAAACTGAGTAGATAGTGAGAGATACAGGGACAAAAACAATGGCAGCAAATGTTTCTTGAAGAGCTAGCTATGGGATAGATGCCATGCTGAAATCTGTACCCATGACTTTATGTAACACTTACTCTAGCCCACTGAGTGATTACAAAATACCAATCCTGTCCAGATTTCAGAAGAAGAAACTGAAGCTTTAAAAGCTGAAGTCAACTATTATGTATCTGCTGCTGGGGAAGAGGGGAAGACTCATGTCCCAATTTCTTTTCTGTGTTCTTCCTCTTTTTCCCTTTGTGGTTCTTGGCTCTCCCATTATCCTGCACAGAGCTGTCATCATAGATTCTACAATGATATACAGAGTCTAGGAATCCCTGTAGGTTCATACCATAATCCACAAGTATTCTCATCTGATGTATAAAATAGCATAGTATCCTATATTCCCTATATATTTTAAGTACAATACCTACAATTAATTTAATAAAGTACAATACCTACAACTACAATTCCTAATTTAATGCAAATACTATATGATAGATTCATGTTGTGTTATTTATGGAATAAAGGACAAGAAAAAGTCTGTATTGATACAGTATTTGAAAAATATTTTCAATCTCTGGTTGAACCTGTGGATATAGAAGCAGTTGATATAAAGGGCTGTGTGTTTATTTTCTACTTATTAAAAGGGAAGGGAACATATTTTGAATGAACTGCTGATCTTTAAGATAGTTTCCTTAGGGAGAGAGTAGTCAAATCCTGGTGGCAAATTCTTTTCTTTTCTTTCCTTTCCTTTTCTTTTCTTTTCTTTCTTTTTTTGTTGTTGTTCATGGGCTTGAACTCTGGGCTTAGGCACTATCCCTGTGCTCTTCAGCTCAAGGCCACAGCGCCACTTCCGGTTTTCTAGTGGTTTATTAGAGATAAGAGTCTCATGGACTTTCCTGCCCGGGCTGGCTTTGAACCGTGATCCTCATTTCTCAGCCTCCTGTGTAGCTCGGATTACAGGCGTGAGCCACCCATGCCAGGCTGCAAATTATTTTCTTGTTATAACTTTGTCATAACTATGATGCTGCTTTTTTAGTTAGGTGACTCTTCATGGCTTATGCTGGTGGAAGAGTTAGAAGAGTGTTTCTGAGAAGGCCTGGAGAAGGGAGGTCTGCTTTGTCAGAAAGCTCCTTTTCTACCAAAATTTTGAAGGATTAGAATCCCAAAGGATATATTTGGAGGAGAAGGAAGAATGTCAGTCTGCACAGAGTATGGATCCTGAGGGCACGCAGGCTTCTGAATATTATATACTGGGTCCGTCCCTTCAGGAGTAGAATGAAAGCACTGATATTCTAGAATCAAATGAGAAACATAGAAAGGAATATGTAAGCTCTGGAATACTAATGAGAGTTGAAAACACACTTTGCAAACATCATACCTTTGTGTGAATTGGTTCCAATATTAAGAGGGTAAATCTGAAGCTTTTGAATATCTATGAAAAGTATTATATAAAACCCATTCATTACCATAGCTATTGGTTTAGAGAAAAGTTATAAATTGTTCAGTGGGCTATCCTCTCACTAGAGATTTACTCCCGCCAATGAGTGGGGTGATGGATTGTTTTACTGCCGCATGCTGCCATGTGAAGGTGTTCTGTGTGAGCAAGTAGCCTTGATGACATGCTACCATGTCTAACATTCCTGCTGTCTCTGGCCTTCTCCCAGCTGCCCCTGAGTTGCTGTAGATATATAATGTGAGCTGTGTCTGCATTTCAACATCAATTCAGTCTCCATTTTCAATTTTCTCCAGCTGTAACACAGATGGATTACATCTCCTCTCCCCCTTGAAATCTTTGGGTCAGTTAAAAAAAAAGGAAGAAAGAGCATAGAGGATTACTTCGCAACTTCCAAATATCAAGAAGTGCAAAGACAGCAAGAAGGCAATAGAACATGGCAGCCAAGGAGCTGCAGGACAGATAGCAGACGATGACTACAAGGTGTCACCAACATTTGTCAGTGTAAACACTGACATGGTGCCCTTTTCCCACAACTTAAATGTCTTCTCCTTAACTCTTTCTTGGCTTTCTTTGTGCGGTTTCATACATTACTGCTCCTAGATGTGCCTCAAGAATGGATAGCCATTTCTCTAATTAATAAGTATGGAAACTGATTTTGGAGTTGTCACTATGTGCGGCCAAGGCGTAAAATAAAACATTTCTGTGATTCTAATATGAAATTCGATTATTTATGATAAAGAAAATTATAGCTTATTTTTCATGGTTACCAATTTAATCTACAAATTATGTTTGTATTGAGGTACATAGTACAAAAAGAAAAGCAATCCTACCTAGCAATGTGAGTCTTAGAGAGTTTGTTTTGCTTTATTATCGTAAATGCACTCTTGGTTATCATACTGTGTATACCAGCAGTGTAATAATTCTATGGGCATGCTTAAACTTAATCTCCCTAGGTAAGCAGTCCCAAGAGTGGACATGATTCAGAATCATATGACAACCTATTCCACATACTTTTCATTTTTATGACTGCAGATTCTGCTGTTTGCTAATCTGTAGTTTGGTAATATTACATTAAAAATCAAGTAGGTACTCCCTCTTATTCTAATGAGGTTCAGGGTTGATCTGTTGATAAAATGCTTTCATGGATATTGCAATATGAACAAAAAGTATCTTTTCCTTTGTGTACCCAGCCATTCCCTGCTTTCCTTTTTACTCACGACTTGACCTTAGTCACTTCAGCTGACATCTTTGCACCATCATTTAGTGTAGCAGTGGACTTTCCCAGCTTGAAGATATTGAAAATAAACATTTTTAGGACAGAAAAGAATAAATATTAGTGAAAATGAAAAGGACCACAGGCCAGACAGACAACAATATTCTACTATTAAATGTAGTCTTTACTGATAGAATAACTTTGGAATGTTGTGTTTTTATTTCCTACTACATTTTTGTAAAACTCTGGCCATATCAGTTTCTAAAGGAATGTAATACTATGTATTTCCCTCTGTAATTCCATACCGTGGTTGTAATAAAGGCTGATCTATTGGGACAGGGATTTGGATTGGGATTATGCATATATGATCTTAAGTAACTTTAGTCCTCTGAGTCTTACTTCCCTGTTAAAAGCAGTAGTGATATTTTCATTTTTAATGCTTTATTAAAGTATTTATTTAATTTATTAAGTTGTACAAAGAAGTTTCAATTCCAGAAGTTAAGTTGTGAGTACAATATATCCTTAAAAAATAATTGTATTCATTAGGTAATATCTTGAAATAGTTGTACAAAGAAATTTTCATTTAATGAAGCAGTTTGTGAATATAGTGCATCTTGATCAATGTCAGTCCTTTCAACATTCTTACCCATCCTACCCCTAACCATCCCACCCCAGTCTTTGAATTTTGTAGGATAGTTTCCTCAGAATAGCTCATAGTATGGATTTAACTACTTTCTCCAACCCAATCAAAGTTCTGGAGGCAACAAAGCAAAGTCAAGCCAACATTTTCTCTTGTTTAGCAGTCTGGGAATAGGGCCTGGAATTTTATATGTGAAAAAAAGACACAGGTGGCACTTATGCATATAATTTGAAACCCCACTATTCTAAGGGATATAATATTGCTAAGGATTCATAATTTTGAGGATTAATTCTAGAAATAAAATTAAGAGCCTGCTTGTTATCATACATTACACTACTTAATGTTTAAAATCACTATAGCATCCGTAAGTAGATTTTGAGAGCAGTTATCAAGACCCTTGTCCTTTGAAAATTAAGTCTACATGATGCCATAGAATAAAAACACACTTTTATGGTTGTCCAATCCCTTGATTTGGGAAAAATACATCTTATGTCCGTCAATTTGTGAGAATCTATAATTCACCAACCAGTTATTCTCCTTCTTACCATGTATGTGCTATTTATTAAGTTGGAATTTCAGTGTATCATGGCCTGAAAAAGAATAGAATGCTTTTCAAAAGTGGTAAACTTAATCTTCAGAGTGAAATCCACGTGATATGTGATATGCTGACTCGGAGTTGACTTTGTCATTGGATTAGAGTTATGTGTGTATAATTGAAGAAGAGAACATGTTTTTTCAACTTCCAAATACTTCTTGTACTTTCAGATTCTGAGTATTATAATCCATGTGAGCAATAAAATGCAAACCTGCAAGCAAAGTTGCAGAACTGGAGTCACAATAATGGTTTAAAATTACTCTTATTTCCATGACTTCGAGGATTTACATATTTTAAAGGAATACAAAAAAGTGAAACATCTTACTAATTTTCTTGCCAGAATTGGCAAATTGTAATTCTTTAGCCAAATCTAACTCACTACTTATTTTTATAAAGCTTTTTTTGTAGCATAGGTATATTTATTAATTTTCATATTATATTTGGCTGACTTTTTTCTACAACAAATTTGATTAACTGCAACATAAGCCATAAGTATTTGTAGTACTGGGCCTGTTAAAAATGTCTTCTATCTCTG